ATGACAAGTGTGGGAGGCTTCATATGCTGTGTTGGTGGAGGCCCAACTGCTTGGGAGAGCAAGAAGCAGGTTGACCAAGCTTTGAGCTCGGTGGAGTCCGAGTACATGGCACTCTTCCGTGCCGTACGGGAGATTGTGTGGCAGCGGCGTTTGTTGGCTGAATTGGGGGAGGAGCTGCAAGGACCTACCCCACTGTACTGTGACAGCCAGGGTGCAATTGCTCTTGCTAAGAACCCTGTGTTGCATGGACTCACGAAGCACATGAGAGTGAAGTGGCATTGGACGAGGAGCATGGTAACCGCGGGTGAAGTTGAGTTGCGCTACGTGAAGACCATGGGGCAGCCGGCTGACATGATGACCAAGAGGCTGGTGGAGCAGCAGCATTGGAAGTGTTGCAAGCTGGCTGGGATGGCTCTGAACTGAGAGAGCAACATATCCTAAGGCCAACAATCCGAGGGGGAGTTTGTTGGTGCAACCCTACGGTTTGCACTCGGCTTGTTGTCCGTGTGCGTGAATGTGTGTGTGTATGGAATGGTATGAGGGCATGGGATAATATATATTTCATGCTTATAATTGTGTGTGAATGTTGAGTCATGATGTCGAGTGTGTGTGTCGAGTCAATAGCGAGTTATCGCTAGACGCGTGTTACGCGGTCGTTTGTGTCTCGCGCGCGGTTTCTATTTTGTCGTGCGCGGTTTCTATTTTGTCCTGTGTCGAACGTTCGGCGTGTCGCAGGTGTGTGCAGCAGACCCATCAAGAACTCAAGGATGAGTTTGTGATGAAGAGCCCGAGCCTTGGTGTCAAGCCTCAAGTGATTTCGAAGCTCGCCAAAAAGGGTACACCTCAAGATATTGAAGATATTTACATTACTTTGTGTAGTGTAACATTTCACTTGGTGTAGGCCCTAGTGAAGGGTAGTTTCGAGACCCTTCGTGGTTGGGGACAGTGTGGCACTGTTCCACATCACTGTACCTCGGCTCTTGGGGTTTGTAGGAGCTGGGAGTCATTCCCAACTCGTAACTCTTCCTATCTTGTGTTCTAAGACTATAGTGGCTGCCATAGTACCGTTCGTTCAGACCGACGCTGTGTCGTCAATTCTTTATCAAATCGTGCAATCTAAATTGCTAATTGTAGACGACGTGAAGACGCTCCAGATCCAATTTGAATCAAGTCATTTGCAGCTGTGAGCAGAACGCTATCAACGTTTGAAGCCGCTGTGCAGAAATCCGTCTGTGCTCTCTATCTTTCGTTTTAGGCACATTCAAGCCTATTGTGACTATAACAAGATTCATATGACATAGCTACTGTAGGCTATAGTGGGGTAGCACATATGGGGTACAGTTGTCTAGGGTTTGCTTTTGTACCCAACTTTCCCCTAGTCAATTCATTCCTCATTATTTCACACAGAGGCCTCAGCCACACTGTGTTTGCGCTTGGAAAACATACCACCTTTCCACTGAAAGACTGCAGACGAAGAAGGGAAGTAAAGAGGACATATGGGTCAAAGAGACATGCGACAACAAGCGTAGCACAGACTGAGAGAGTATCAATGCTCGCATACAGCAAAGAAGGTTCCGTCGGCGTGAATGGGCTTCACTAAACCACATACCTAAGTTATCCCCAACAGCGATTGTTGGTTTACTCCAAGACTTCACGCCAGGTCAACCCTTGCTGCCGCCAACCACGTAGGTTGCAGCATGCTGCATTTACGGCACGAAGGGGGAGGCAGAAACAAAGACGACCTGGATTGAGTGTGTAGCAATTCCTCCCATGTGGCCTTCCTTCCAAGAGGCCACTCTCGTTGCAGCATCAACAACAGCATGATGCTGCACCTCATACGTTAGCATCAACGAGAAGGTGAAATAGGTACGGGCACAAAACCGAGTTAAGACTCTCTTAGCAAGTCAACCGCAGCTTCAAGACGCACGCAATGCAACGATGACTTTGAGTCTCGCCTCCAATGAAAAAGCTGATGACTGGACATTTCAAGCAGCTTAATAACATGAGGAAGCGAGGCAGGAGAAAGGAACTATGAAAGGAAGGTGAACGAGTAAGTGGACAGGTGAAGGACCTCAAGAAGAGTAGAACGGCGGATGGGGAGAAGGGCGAGTAGAAAATGGGGGAAGTGTGTGTGAAGGAACTTGTTACACCTCTTACCGCGACTAAGGGCCGGATTGTTCCTGGAAAGTCCAACGAGCAGCCTGTACAATCGATGACAGGACAGCAGCACGCAACAAACAGGTCACCGAAAAGAAGAGCGCAGCAGCGCAACACTGCATAAGCTAGAGTACCAGCACAGAGCACGTGGAGAACTGCCGAGCACGGACGCACGTGTGTGAACACACCGAGCCAAATCAGCAGGTTCCGAGGTTCAGTCAGTGAAACCAGTTTAGCTTGTCAATTCAGGTCCAGGAAGGCTGGTGCGATACTAGGAACAATAATCATTCTGTCAACTCACCTACTAAATTACTATCACCGAAAACCCTGATGCAATTCAGACAACCTTTGCTATTTCAACCAGTGGTTGCTCTTATGCAAAGGACATGCTGAAATTTAGAGAAACAGTAGCCATACCTGCCAACAGCAGCAGCGCGATAAGGGAAAGCCGACTCATTTCAACCATGGCGTTAGAAGGACTTGTCTTCAGAATGAGAAAACTGGAGAGCGATCACGCGAGATTGCAAAATGGTCTGGATTGCCTCGCACACATTCTCTTCCGAGCCTTGCCATTTTTTGTACCAGAGGACTTCGTCCGCACAGGTGGGAGCCAATGCCAAAGGTGGTCTCGTTCGAGACGTCACCAACAGTGATGTTGTTGAGCCCATACTCCTATCGAAAGGAATGCCCATGGTAACAGTCAGACGTGGATTCTCGTGTGCTTTACAACGTGTTGCACCAACTTGAAGTTACTCACGGGCATTCGCGCTGGCTGTACCGCGATTTCCAAGCCGTTTTAGGCAGGTTCCGACTAACGAGGAGGGCGAGAAAGGCGAGAACGTCCGCGACAGCGTTTGGTTCGAAGGGTAACCGACTCTGTCTCAAAATTTCGCAGCGTGGTACACATTGTGTGTCGTGGCGAGTTGGCGAACGAGGAGGTATCAAGAAGAGCCGCGTGGACTCAATTACTCACGACTTGCGAAGGTTCGCGAGGACTGATGTGGCGAGTTGTCAGCTATGTTACATTGCTGGCACTTGGCAGGTCGGCCTGGCTCTGTACTCGGAACCTTCCAGTCAAGCCGAGTCAGGGCACTCAGTTGGCCCGCCTCCCACTTGACTGGAGCCTTCCAAAGCCGGTGCACCATCCCGAGCTGATCAGTCTGCGGGTTGGTGCAACACGTCATAGTACCGGTTGGTGCAACACGTCATTAGCATTCTTCACGAATTGGTTCTGCCCAAGAACGAGAGAGAGAGAGAGAGAGAGAGAGAGAGAGAGAGAGAGAGAGAGAGAGAGAGAGAGAGAGAGAGAGAGAGAGAGAAAAAAAAAATCCTCGGTCGGCCTATGTCCAGCAAGAATGGTGGTAGTATACTGTATCATGCACGATAAACTACGATGGACCAGTGAATGCACCAAACAACCGCCAGCGAGTGTGTGAGAGGTCCCTAGCACGGTCTGTCATGGCGGTTTGGATTAGCCCATCGATGTTAGACGCGGAAATAAAATTAAATTTGAAGGAAGAAAAGAAACCAACAAAAACAACAAAACAAGGTGAAATGGATCTTAGATGCAATATAGTAGGTCAGGAGGGGGGTGAACTCCGAAATTCCCCCTCACACAACAGAACTCAGCTGGCTGGCTTCGCCTGGACCAGATACCGACGAGGAAAACGTGACCAATCGGGCAGCTTCCACGCGGTTTGGTCGTTTTGTCAAACCTGGGGCACCGCTCGGTGCTGGCTGCCAAGCAACAAGGCGGCTCTATTTGTATCCACATGGAGCTTGCTTGACAACTGGCCACGAAATGTGGAGCCTGCTTGACAAGTGGCCACGAAATTTAGGACGAAGTTGCTGGCTGCAGCTGATTTTAATGGGTATGTTTTGACCGCCGCCTATATATTGTTGAACGCAGGATTCGGAGACCCCAAAGTTTAGAAGGTGGTTTCAAGATCAACCCGAAAAACCCCGTAGGGTAGTAGGGACATCTCCTTTCTCTTCTCCGTCCACTCCTTCCACTTAAATGATGATGGAAGTTCACGGGATGTCACGTGAGTTTCACAAGAAGGAGGATTCTAATGTGAGTTCCACGAGTCTCATCACAAATTTTGAAAATCCCTCTGCCGCTACAAGTGCGTTTGCCCTTTTTCACCTGAATCGCTCATCGGAATTGGGGGTGACGCTCCCGTTTTGCCTGGGGCGACGCAAGGGGGTGACGGTCGACCGAGCGTCAGGGCGGCCAACTCCCTCGCGTGAATCCCCCGCCAGGCTGGCGCGGGGCGGGACTGTGCCCACGACCCCCGCCCCGGCCCCCCACCCCGAATTCCTACAGAACCCCACGTCACAACCAGGGGGTGGCGAACTGGCGCGTCTACGACGAGGGGCCTAATAACCCCTTCACGGAGGCGGACATTCGCTTCGCGTTGCCCGCGAGGCCCTAGTAACCCTCTCGGGCTGCCCTCGCCGGGCAGGCGGGTTGGATGCGAAATTCACAGGGCCCGACCCCACCCTCGTCAACATCGCTGCCCCCTCGGAAGGGGACACATGGCTCACTCTCGCCACCCCGACCACCCCCATGCACAACCCACACAACCCCCCCCCCCCACACCCCGAACCCCCTCCTTGAGGGCAGGCCCGGTTCGGGCCGAAACTGGAGGCTCGCCCTCGGCCACGACCTGCTTCGTCCCCGAGCGGCAGAGTGGGCGACCGACGGCCCACGCCCATTTCTTGATGGGGGGTCCGAATCCATCCGTCATTTCTCATTTCCAACTTCGCTTTCCGATTTTCTCTGCCTCCCTGTCAGCTCTCCGCGCTCCTCCCCTTTGTTTTCGAGATACCGTGGTATTAGCATGGCGACCGGTAGGATAGAACTGGCTGCGGCCGAATTCCCCCTCCATGTGCCTGTGGGCAGCGCTGGGTACATAGTGACGCTTGAGATGAAGGACTACGAAGCCCTTCGCGACGAGAAGGCCGAGTTCACAGAACCTTGCTTCGACCTCGGCATCGCGTGAGCGCGCATCCCTAGTTCCTTGTTAGTTTTAAAGGGTTCAGCGCGTTTACGTCGACGTCGTTTCTACGTCGACGTTGGCCTCCTCGGCTCCCCGCGTGGTCGACGATGTCTGTCCATGATGGTCGTCCTAGCGCTTGGTCGTCTTATTATCTAGTTTGCTGGTCGTCGACCATGGACCCTACGTCGGCGACGTCGGCCTTGCTGCTGGCGACGTCGCCGTCGTGCAAACCCTTCGTCCGAGTCGACTTGTCTTGCTGTCGGCTGTATACCCCGGCGCCCGGCATGGATTGTAGCTCATCGCGCAAGTGTTTCGCTCCCGCGTTTTCGCCCCTGCTTGTCCCAGGTACGAGCTCGATCGACCCGGAAAAGCCGGCAGGATGGCCCTGATGCGCGCTGCGAGTCTTCGCGCCGCCAGGACGGCGTCGAAGCCGGACTATCTGATTTTCGGGACGGCCTTCGACTTCGAAGCCCTCGCCATTCCCTTGTGCACCGCGTGAGTGTTCCGCGCCCGCGAGGTTTGATCCTCGCCGACCGCGTTGCTTGTTCCCGGACAGAACCCTGAATGTCTTCGTCATGCCTCGTGTGTGTGCAGGGACGGACCTCTTCCCGGCAGGCACTGCAGCGTCCTGCTTGTTGTGCGCCCTGGGGACTTGCTTTTGCCCGACGAGGAGCAGATCGGGACCTTCTACCGCCACCTCGACCCCAAGACCTCCTCCAAGCTGCACGAGGAGGAGGCGGCCAAGGTTTTGAGGTGGGACAATGTCGCCGGCTAGTCGCGCTGCTCCCTAACGGCGATTATCCCGCCGTGTCTGGAGGCTCTTTTCCGTCTCGTACGTGCACAGGTTTTTCGGCGAAGCCGTGAAGGCGGAGTTAAACCGTTAGGGAAGGAAGTGGACGGCTAAGGCTCCTTCCGCCGAAGTCCTCTCCGCACGTCTGGAGAGTCTTGCCGCCCCCATCCGTGATGTGAGTTTCCAACTTCGATGTGAGTCGAGTCGGGCAAGAAGGCGCGGGGGAGTGATGGCTCGACCTCGACTAGGATGGCGTCAAAGGCGGCTATTGAGCGTCTGAAGGCGGCGGAGAGGGAGAACAAGAAGCTGAGGGAGGAGAAGCTGGTGGCGGAGAAGAGGCTGGAGTACCAGACGGCCCGGATGGACACTCTATTCGGCGTGGTCACGACGGCCGTGAACAAGCTCACGACGGTTGCCAACCGCGTGAACTCTCACGAGCAGACGTCGAGGACGAGCCTCCAAACGGCGGTGGACGCTATGAGGGAGGTCGTCCAGGAGGCGGTGAACTATCGCGGCTCCCTCGTAGAATTCATGAACGCGAAGTGGCTGCCCACCGTACAGGCTCTGCACTTGACGGCTGCTGCTGCGAACGATAGGCGACGGGAAGACGACGTCGTGCTGTTGCGAGGTGTGGCAGATGCGCTGGGCGAGACTATCAAAACCGCCGTGTCTGCTGAGGTGAAGGCCGCCATGGTGAGCGAGGCGCAGGGGATCGCCGCCGTCGTGACTGCGAAAGTCGTCCAAGAGCTTAGGGAGGACCTGGTGAAGGCGGTCACCTCCGCGACCCAGCAGGGCCTTGGTACCGCCGGGTTTAGCCTCCTCCCAACTGCTCTCGCGTCGGTGATGCACGGCAGTCGCTCAACCGCCGAGGAGCATGGGCCGACGCAAAGGCAGTGCGGGAAAAGGGTCGCCGACGAAAAGTCCCTGACCGGCGAGCAGACCAGCGGCACTAAGCGAAGCAGAGGACCTGCGGTGAAACGCGGTGTGGCCGTGGAACCTCATGCCTCTCCGTATGTTCGTGTCCCCGGCGTCCACGACTTGCTGAAAGAGGGACTTGGCGCGCGACCGAGCGCCGATTTTCGACAGGTCGACGACGTGCTCCAGGATCCAACTTCGGTGGTCGGGAAGCCCGGTGGGCAGCCCGTGGGGGACTTGCAGCCACAGGCCGCGACCAATCCGCCGAGCGCCATCGAGCTGCGACCCGGCGAATCTGGCAGACTAGCTCCTGGGAGGGGCATCCGTGGTCGGGAAGCAGGGCGGGCAGCCAGTGGCGGACCAGAATCCACAGCCCGAGGCCAGTCTGGCGACTGCACAAGGCGCTCGACCGAGCGGCGGCACGGCGCAGATGACGGACGAGCTCCTGCACCTCGCAGCGGTGGTCGGCCAGCAGGGCGGGGAGCCCGTTGCGGGCCAGCATGTTCAACCCTCGACGAGTACAGCGACTGCGCGACCGACCGGCGTCACAGCGCAGCTGGCGGACGACCTCATCCGCCCCGCAGCGGTGGTCGACCAGCAGAGCGGGCGGCCCGTTGCGGGCCAGCATCTTCACCCCGCGACGAGCACGGCGACGGCGACTGCACAAGACGCGCCACCGACCAGCGACATAGCGCAGCTGGCAGACGACCTCCTGCGCCCCGCAGCGGTGGTCGGCCAGCAGGGCGGGCGGCCCGTTGCGGGCCAGCATCTTCATCCCGCGACGAGCACGGCGACGGCGATTGCACAAGACACGCCACCGACCAGCGACATAGCGTAGCTGGCCGACGACCTTCTGCGCCCCGCAGCGGTGGTTGGCCAGCAGGGCGGGCGGCCCGTTGCGGGCCAGCATCTTCAACCCTCGACGAGCACGGCGACTGCACAAGTCGCGCGACCGGGTGGCGTCACGGCGCTCCTGGTCGACGAGCTCTTGCGCCCAGCAGTGGTGGTCGGACAGCAGGGCGAGCAGGCCGGAGCGGGCCAGCACCCCCACACCGCAACGAGTATGGCGAGTGCCAGTAGCGCGCGACCGGGTGGCGTCACGGCACAGGTGGCCGACGAGTCTTTCCACCCCAAGCAGCGAGCGACAGGCGTCCTACCCAGCGGCGTGGTCGAGACTGCCACATCGGTCATTTTGTCGGCGACGGCACCAGCGCCGCACAAAGAGGGTACTGCCCACGGGACCCTCGGCGTAGGCGAGACGACTGTGTCGCTGCCGAACCCGCCTCCTCCGCCTACCACGGTCACTGCCACTGCGGCCAGCTTACCCGTTCATGGGGCCGGCATGGTCGGCGTGGAACCGATCCCTAAGGTTGTTGAGACACAGGCGGTCCAAGCTCTAATCGCTTGGAGGCCAACGCTCGATGAGAAGCTGAAATGGATGGAGGATCAGAACCGCTCGGAAATTCCTCCGACGCCCAGCAACCAGGCGATCGACCAAGGAGCAGAGGCAGCGCACGTCACGGCGGCGACTGCAGGGCCGAGCGTCACAACGGAGGAGACGGCTATTTAGGGAATGGTGGAAGAGGCCGACGGGGTGGACCCCGAAATCCTAGCCAGTATCGTGATGCCGGACCCCGAAATCGAGGTCATGCGGGAGAAACTACAAGCAGCAGCTCCCACTGTGGGAGCGCAACAGGGTACACCGGCCGCCTCGTCTGCACCTGCGGAGGACCCTAGCGCGACTGGCGCCAAATCACCCCCGGCCACAACCGGTGAGGTCGGCGACGGGAAGCAAAAGCGCAAGGGCAAGGCGAATCACGGCTCTTCCAAGGAGACATCTAAAGCGGCCACGCAGGGTCGGAAGAGTTCAGGCGTCCGTGTTGACAAGGAGATGGGGCTGGCCGTGTCGGAGATAAAGTTTGGGAAGAAGATTCGTTACATTTGCCGGTCGATGGACAAGTCGGAGGCCGCCTACTGCATCGCAATCGCCGTTTCATCGTTCGACGGCTACGTGAGCGACGTGATTCTCGCCGAGTTCAGTGGTGTCAAGGAGGATGTGATGAAGCAGTCTAAGTCGGACTGGGATGTGGCGCGATTGATTCCGGGCGGCATGTGGATGGTCATGTGGAGCCGAGGCGCAAACGTCTTCCGCGACAGGTAAGCTTGGCGAATGCTCAATTCGGTGCTCGTTTCGGTCGGTCGGTGACGGTGGGTCGTGCTGCTGTGTTTTGCAGGTTCCAAGAGGTGGTCGCGGAGTACAACAGGATAACCGCCGCCGACCGCGCAGCTCTCATGGTGGCTCTTCGTCCGGCGGTGTAGTTCGGCGACCTTCCGGAGTCGACCAAGGCCGAAAAGGCCGCGAAGAATAAGGTGGCGAGCGACCTGATCACACGTGTTTCGATGTGTGCCGCCTTCGCACCTGTGGCCGCGAAAGTCACGCCCATTGCGGGCGTCGAGTCGGAGCGGTTATCCGAGGTCCTCGCCCGGACTGCGTGCGCGGTGTGGTGCTTTTCGGAGACCAATGCCACGGCGGCAGCAGCGGCCGGCGAAGGGGGGGCGGCAGCGACTGTGCGCGGAGCGTCCTCCGAGTTCGCGAGTCGGTGTAAGAGCGTCATCGAGGTGGTGCTTCAACGGGCGTCGTCCCGGGAGGTCGTCGTAGGAGAGGGCGTCGACACGGTGACGAAGGTCCTGCAAGGCGCTGTGCTGAGGTCGCTGCCTGAGGACGGGGATGAGCGCGACCACGACGAGCTGATCGCCCGTGTCATGATCGAGAACCTCGCCTTCTGGGGGGACTGCTGTGTCGGCGGCCCTAAACTCAAAGCTCGCGGCGTCGTTTTGCCTATTGACGCCAGCATGAAGACGATCGTTCGGGACAGGGGGGCGAGGGGGCAGCACAAGGGAAGCAGGCGGCCGACGCATAGGTCAACGAACGCTGGCCCGACTGCTGTTCTCATGGTCGGCGTTGGTGCAAACGCTGCAGGCTTTCCGACGAAGACCTAGCAAGCGCTCCGACTTTGGTTAGGGTCGCTTGTGTGTGTTGTTGTGTAGTTATGTTTTGCCTCTCCTGTTTAGCGATTTTGAACAACTAGTCGGTCAAACATTGGAAAAGTAAAAACAAAAACATGTCGTTTTACAAGCACTAGTCGGACACCCTCGGCCCGCCTTCAGCCCGCCCTAAGCCCACCCTCAGCCCGCCCTCAACCAACCCTCAGCCCGCCGTCAGCCCACCCTCGGTCGCACCACCCTCAGCACGCCCCACAAGTCGGACACGGAGGGACTACCCTCAGCCCGCCCTCTTGCGTTTCCCAGCGCAAGAGCTCTCCGCCCTTGCTCCCACGGTTGCCTCGGCCTCCAAGCCGACCTTCTCGGCCTGCTCCTCCCACAAGTCGCCGAAGATCTCCTTTCCCCAGTCAGGGTCGGCGTAGCCCGCCGAGACAACGCCCCACGCAACTGCCAGCTTCCTGTACTGCGGCTTGTCCAGACCCTTGATGCCGGTCGGCTTTCCGTCGGCTGTGGTGGGGACCTTCATGGGCGTGGTTGCACGGAGGACCACGAGAGCGTCGCTGAAAATAGAAAGACCCGCCCGCCCCAGGTGGTCGAGTAGCTTGACCACGGCGGTGGTGTCAGCGTCGTTTTCGCTCCGCCGCAAGAGGTACACGGTTTCCATGATCCGCTTCATCCGGCGCGTGGAGTTCTGCAGCGCATCGTTTTTCCCCGTCTCTCCTACCTCGATCGTGGGACAATCGTCGGTCGGCGCTTTTCGGCCACGAGAGCTCTTCGCCGACTTCGCCGACGCTGCGGGTTTGTCGGCCTTCTCGACCTTGCAGATCATGCGCGTGTGTCTGACGAGGAATCTGGACTCCTCGTAACGTTCGCGCAAAGGCCGCGCGTCCACGTGCGACGGGTTGTTCCACCAGCGCTAGGCAGCCTTGACTGTCTTGGACGTGCGCCATGGATGCACGACGTTCACCTCGTACGTGAGGTCCTCGTCCTGCTCCTTCTCGATCTTGACGGCCGCTGCCTTCTCGGCGTCAGTCATCGGCCTTGACGGCGCCGGCGCAGTCGGCGTCGGCCGTGCCTCGGCCAGCTTGAGAGCCTGCATCAACCTCGCGATCTCCGCGTCCTTCTCCTCCAACTTCTTCTGCATCTCAAGCTTCTCGACCGCGGCATCCTCCCTCTGGCGGTGCAGCATCATGGTGAGCTGGTCGACCTGATGTTCGGCGTCGACTCGCGCGCTAAATTCCTGTGATCCAAGGGGGATGGGCGGCAAACGGTCAGCAAATGAAGGCGGACGACTTGTTGTAGTGGTCGCCGGAACGCGCATGCCGTACCTCTTGGGGGTTCTCGCTCGGAGTACGGCGCGTGGCGATGGTTTCGAGGTCCATCCAGTTGACGTCCTTGGCCCATTTCTGGAAGTCGGGGTCGCGGCAGAGCTTCGAACTCTGGACGTACGGGTGCCACGGCTCGCGCATCAGCATGCACGCAAGATCCTCGGCGACGATGCGGCGGCCGAACTCGATGAGCGATTGCAGGAAGTGCACCCCGGCCGTGTTGGGTTCTCTCCCCGTGGCACACTTTTCCGCCTGAGAGACGAACACAAACAGTAACACAATCAACCGTCGGTGGAATGTCGGCGTGGAAAAGTGTGGCGGGTAGTCGGCGTTTCGGGCGTCTGAATTGCTCACCTTGGCCAGTTCCGCTTCCGCCCACGGAAAGAAATGCTGGGCGATGAGGGCCACCACCTTGTCGTCGGGCTTTATCATGCTGCGGCCGAGGTGGTAGTCGCTGCGCTTGCCCGTGTAGCCGGCCTTTCGCAACACCGCCGCCTTCGGGATGGTCATGATGTAGCTCTTCGCAAGCTTGTCGAGCGCCCAGTGGCCCAAGTCGGCGATGTCAGATCGCGGAACGCCATCGTCGGCCAGCTCCTGTACCCCTCCAGCCCGGGCGGCGTGGGTGTTGCGCGTGATGAAGATCTTGTTCATCCGCCACATCTCCTGCGTGATACGAGAATGAGATGAAGGCGGCAGCTGTTTTTGTGTCTTGTCGTACCACATGTACGGAGTACTGAAATCGAGGGGTGGCACAAGTCGAGAGGTGGGCGACTGGCTCAGCTGGTCGTAAACGAAGTGCAGCCACAACAGTGTTTGGCCGACGGCGCACATCTCCTGCTCCAGGTGTCTCGCCGCGTAGCTGTGGTGCAGACGAGCATCCTTGTTTTGTGACGCGGCGACCATGACGACCGGTCGTCGCGTTGAGTGCTCGGGCGTCGTGCTCCCCATTCTGTACAAGAACAAGTCGGGGAGCTCGATCGCTCAGACGCTGGCTGCGCGGAGAAGGGTGTGGTGACCCAGGAGTGTCATAGTCTTCATCAGCAGGAACTTCCACAGCACCAAATAAGGCTCGTTCAGGTCGGGAATCGCGCTGTTCACCGCCGGCGGCGTGACGCCTGCCATCTCGGCGGGTAAAGTTGTTCCCGTCGGCATCTAGTTGTCGCCGAGATCTCACGGCGGTAGGTTTTCCGCCGTCCAAAGGCGATACTGCACAATCGCTGCTGTGTATTGCCTTCGCACCAAGGCCCTCAGGGCCGCCCGGCGTTCGGCCCTCTCAGCGATCGTCAACTCTGCGGCAATGTCGGACAGTTCGGGAACTTGGGGCGGCGGATTGGTGTTCTGCGGGGTGTTGTTCGGCGTGGTCGTGGTCGGCGGGGTAATGGTCGGCGGGGTCTTAGTGTTACGATACGGCCTGAGCTGGTAACCAGTTTAACTAAGGGCCTAGGCTTAGAAGCCTAGGCCAAGCGGGTATCGAGGGAGTTGTGCCAAGGGAGAATGGCGAGAAAAATGATTGTGTTCACTATAGGACCAAAGGTACATATAGCAAACAAACAAGAGTGCACCACCAACCAGGTTTGTATAACTATACTAAAGCTAAAGCTACAGGCAGTTATAAATATATATAAATATATATCGCGACAGTTAGGTGGCGTGGTGTCGTTCGGCGGGGTGTTGTTCGGGGGGGGGTTGGACGGGGGGGTGGTGTTCGTCAGGGTGTTGTTCGACGGGGTGTTGTTCGGCGGGGTGTTGTTCAGCGGGGTGTTGTTCGGCCGGATGTTGTTCGACTGGTTCCTGGCCATTCGAGGCCGTCCTATGGATTAACGGCGACGACAATTCTGGTTAAGGCTACGGAGAAAGACGTCGGCCTAGTTCGGATGTTTAGACCTAGCTAGTCGTCCTAGGCTTATACCCCGAATGATCAGAAGTCGGCAGTCCGGTGTCTATGCCGACCTAAACACACCCTACACCGGTGTGTCGTCGTCGTCGACCCTGCACCACGCGAGGTCGGTCGGTCTCAGAGTTGCGTGAAAATGACCAAGGGAATGAATGCGAGAGCGTGGCTTCCTAGAATGGAAGTGATTGAACCGCAAAGAACAAGAGACGAAATGGCAAAGACAGATGGCCGTCGGTGGGTCATAGCAGAGAGTGCCACCGTCGCGGTTCGGGCAGACAGGTGTTGGCGGGCGATCCGTGGGCAGGTCTCCAACCCTGCATGCACGGCAGAACGGCGGCGCTCTGGACGACGTGGCACGGTGCACGCATGTCTTTTTCGCAGCCGACTTTCCGGTGTTCCCGCCTTCTAGATCGTGATTACACGTCGGTGTGACGCAGCAGTGCTCATCGCGTCGCCCGAGATGGTATCACGCGGGGATGTTCCTGCCTACAGGCCGACGAAGGCTTGGTCGCCGCGTGGACAGGTGCTCGCCGAACGATGTTCGACGCGTGGAATGTTATGTTTCGGATAGGCGACATCTGGCTCAGCGCGCCAGAGCAGTGGTCAGCCAGGAATTGCGGTGGGCCTCACGTCGCAGTCCGCGCCGAGGGCAAGCAGGACGTCGTGGCACGCTGGCCGCGACCGGCGGCGTCAACGTGTCGACCTCGTACGGAGGTCCCGTTGAGAGGTGCTATCAAGGTACACCCACCCCTGCATACGTTGCACGGGGGTCATTAATTGAGAGTGGTCCTAAATTATCCGAAGTGTAGTGTCGTAAAAGACTTGGCGAGGCCACAAAAAACCTCAAATAAATGCTTTATTCACCGATAAGCTTAGTTGGCATTTTACGTTTACGGGGGTTTGCGTGTACGTGACTTTACGTAGTAAACTTACGTTTACTTACGTGGGCCCAAAACAGCTTTACGTTTACGGTCAGCCAGAAACATTTCTGACTGCCCGGAAAGATAGGAAATCATCGGACTAAGTGGATGCATGGGAAGCGCTCTCAAAGTTAGCGCTCCATCGCGAGATGCTGGGGCGACGGGCGACAAGCTAGGGGCGACGGGCTAGGGCGCGGGCTGGGGCGACGGGCCAGGGCGGGCGCCTGGGCGACGAGCTAGGGCGGGCGCTTGGGCGACGGGCTAGGGCGGGCGCCTGGGCGACGGGCTAGGGCGGGCGCCTGGGCGACGGGCTGGGGCAGGCGCCTGGGCGACGGGCTAGGGCGGGCGCCTGGGCGACGGGCTAGGGCGGGCGCCTGGGCGACGGGCTAGGGCAGGCGCCTGGGCGACGGGCTAGGGCGGGCGCCTGGGCGTCGGGCTAGGGCGTGGGCCTGGGCGACGGGCTAGGGGCGCAGGCTAGGGGCGCGGAGGGCGCTAACGCGCGGAGGAGGAGGGCGCGAAGGCGCGGAAATGGCGCGGAGGGCGCGGAGGCTAAGGCGCGGAGGGCGCGGAGGGCGCGGAGGGCGTGGAGGGTGCTAGGGCGCAAGGGCGCGGAGGGCGCTAGGGCGCGAGCTAGGCTAGGCTAGGCGAGAGGATCGACACCTACTTCTGATACCATCTCAAAGTTAGCGAACAACGGAATGGTTGACTAGGAAGGAGTTGGGGTACAACTAGGAAAGCCTAACATGTTTGTACTCACTAAGGAGCACCTCACTACAGCCTATCACAAACATCAACATTTGACAAGCGCCTAATCCATCACTAGCTTGGTTCTTCTATGCCCAAGCATGTTAGACATTATTACATCAACTTACAGATGCCCCAAATCTACACCGACATGTCACAGCCTCTCCCACCTCATATCAGTCATATTTTTCCATTTCGCAGACAAAAAAAAACTTTTTTGCCCTGCCCGTGCAACTTTACGTAATATTACGCGTAAGAAAACGTCAAGGTAAACTCAACGTAAGTTTACGCTTTACTTGACCCTAAAAAACGGAAAGTACCAACTAAGCCGATAAGTACTGTTGCCCAAGTTTTTTGTAAAGATAATGCTAGTCCAAGTCGCATTCTGTCTCCTGCAACCACCCCAGCTCCTTCCCCACCACATCCATGCGCTTCCTCAGCGAGTCGAAGTCCGTTGGTGGGGTGGTAAACGGGTATGTGTACACCACGCGCCCCGCTATAGAGCGGTACAGCACAATGTCATCGCGCGTCAAGCCCAAGCAGACCATCGGTTCTGGCCGTTATGTAGTTCTCCTGATTGGTGGGGGATGTGGGGAGGGACAGAAACAAACACGTTGTCAAGTGGTCAAGTGTTTGTGCAAGTATGGGGGAAGGGGGAGGCAGAGAAGCAGCAACATCAGTTCATCCAGCTCCTCCTGCGCACATGCTTCGAGAGACTGCACCGATGCTGCCACCATAGACATGCGTGCATTACAGACATAAACAGGCATGGGTGCGTGCATATACATGCATGCATACACACGTAGACATGGGGTCATGTATGTGCATGGACATTGGTACATGACAAACCATGCATGCATACATGCACACATGTCCACACATGCCGATGCATGGCAGTGAGAGGGTGAGCAGGCCAGGGCAGGGAATACGCGAGGCTGAGATTATCTGCTCTCCTGGCATCCTCCCTCCCATCCCCTCCCTCATCCTCGCATCCTCTCTCCCATCCCCTCTCTCGTCCTCCTCGCATCCTCTCTCCCATCCCCTCTCTCGTCCTTGCGTCCTCTCTCCCATCCCCTCTCTCATCCACGCATCCTCTCTCATCCTCGCATCCTCCCTCCCATCCCCTCTCTCATCCTCGCATCCTCTCTCCCATCCCCTCTCTCGTCCTCCTCGCATCCTCTCTCCCATCCCCTCTCTCGTCCTTGCGTCCTCTCTCCCATCTCCTCTCTCATCCACGCATCCTCTCTCCCATCCCCTCTCTCATCCTCGCATCCTCTCTCCCATCCCGTCTCTCATCCTCGCATCCTCTCTTCCATCCCCTCTCTCATCCTCGCATCCTCTCTCCCATCCCCTCTCTCATCCTCGCAACCTCTCTCCCATCCCCTCTCTCATCCTCGCGTCCTCACTGCCATCCCCTCTCTCATCCTCGCATCCTCTCTCCCATCCCCTCTCTCATCCTCGCATCCTCTCTCCCATTACCTCTCTCATCCTCGCATCCTCTCTCCCATCCCCTCTATCATCCTCCTCGCATTATCTCTCCCATTCCCTCTCTCGTCCTCGCGTCCCCTCACCCATCCCCTCTCTCATCCTCGCATCCTCTCTCCCAGCCCCTCTCTCATCCTCGCATCCTCTCTCCTATCCCCTCTCTCATCCTCCTCGCATTATCTCTCCCATTCCCTCTCTCGTCGTCGCGTCCTCTCACCCATCCCCTCTCTCATCCTCGCATCCTCTCTCCCATCCCCTCTCTCATCCTCGCATCCTCTCTCCCATCCCCTCTCTCATCCACGCATCCTCTCTCCCATCCCCTCTCTCATCCTCGCATCCTCTCTCCCATCCCCTCTCTCAAAATCGCATCCTCTCTCCCATCCCCTCTCTCATCCTCGCATCCTCTCTCCCATCCCCTCTCTCATCCTCGCATCCTCTCTCCCATCCCCTCTCTCATCCTCGCAACCTCTCTCCCATCCCCTCACTCATCCTCGCATCCTCTCTCCCATCCCCTCTCTCATCCTCGCATCCTCTCTCCCATCCCCTCACTCATCCTCGCAACCTCTCTCCCATCCCCTCTCTCATCCTCGCATCCTCTCTCCCATCCCCTCTCTCATCCTCGCATCCTCTTTCCCATCCCCTCTCTCATCCTCGCATCCTCTCTCCCATTCCCTCTCTCATCCTCGCATCCTCTCTCCCATCCCCTCCATCATCCTCGCATCCTCTCTCCCATCCCCTCTCTCATCCTCGCATCCTCTCTCCTATCCCCTCTCTCATCCTCCTCGCATTATCTCTCCCATTCCCTCTCTCGTCGTCGCGTCCTCTCACCCATCCCCTCTCTCATCCTCGCATCCTCTCTCCCATCCCCTCTCTCATCCTCGCATCCTCTCTCCCATCTCCTCTCTCATCCTCGCATCCTCTCTCCCATCCCCTCTCTCATCCTCGCATCCTCTCTCCCATCCCCTCTCTCCTCCTCGCATCCTCTCTCCCATCCCATCTCTCAAAATCGCATCCTCTCTTCCATCCCCTCTCTCATCGCCGCATCCTCTCTCCCATCCCCTCTCTCATCCTCGCATCCTCTCTCCCATCCCCTCTCTCATCCTCGCAACCTCTCTCCCATCCCCTCTCTCATCCTCGCATCCTCTCTCCCATCCCCTCTCTCATCCTCGCATCCTCTCTCCCATCCCCTCACTCATCCTCGCAACCTCTCTCCTATCCCCTCTCTCATCCTCGCATCCTCTCTCCCATCCCCTCACTCATCCTCGCAACCTCTCTCCCATCCCCTCTCTCATCCTCGCATCCTCTCTCCCATCCCCTCTCTCATCCTCGCATCCTCTTTCCCATCCCCTCTCTCATCCTCGCATCCTCTCTCCCATTCCCTCTCTCATCCTCGCATCCTCTCTCCCATCCCCTCCATCATCCTCGCATCCTCTCTCCCATCCCCACTCTCATCCCCGCATCCTCTCTCCTATCCCCTCTCTCATCCTCCTCGCATTATCTCTCCCATTCCCTCTCTCGTCCTCGCGTCCTCTCACCCATCCCTCTCTCATCCTCGCATCCTCTCTCCCATCCCCTCTCTCATCCTCGCATCCTCTCTCCCATCCCCTCTCTCATCCTCGCATCCTCTCTCTCATCCCCTCTCTCATCCTCGCATCCTCTCTCCCATCCCCTCTCTCCTCCTCGCATCCTCTCTCCCATCCCATCTCTCAACATCGCATCCTCTCTCCCATCCCCTCTCTCATCCTCGCATCCTCTCTCCCATCCCCTCACTCATCCTCGCAACCTCTCTCCTATCCCCTCTCTCATCCTCGCATCCTCTCTCCCATCCCCTCTCTCATCCTCGCATCCTCTCTCCCATCCCCTCTCTCATCCTCGACTCCTCTCTCCCATCCCCTCTCTCATCCTCGCATCCTCTCTCCCATCCCCTCTCTCATCCTCCCATCCTCTCTCCCATCCCCTCTCTCATCCTCGCATCCTCTCTCCCATCCCCTCTCTCATCCACGCATCCTCTCTCCCATCCCCTCTCTCATTCTCGCATCCTCTCTCCCATCCCCTCTCTCATCCACGCATCCTCTCTCCCATCCCCTCTCTCATCCTCGCATCCTCTCTCCCATCCCCTCTCTCATCCTCGCATCCTCTCTCCTATCCCCTCTCTCATCCACGCACCTCCCTCCATCCACTCTCTCATCCACGCATCCTCTCTCCCATCCCCTCTTTCATCCTAGCATCCTCTCTCCCATCCCCTCTCGCATCCTCGCATCCTCTCTCCCATGCCCTCTCTCATCCTCGCATCCTCTTTCCCATCCCCTCTCTCATCCTCGCATCCTCTCTCCCATCCCCTCCATCATCCTCGCATCCTCTCTCCCATCCCCACTCTCATCCCCGCATCCTCTCTCCTATCCCCTCTCTTATCCTCCTCGCATTATCTCTCCCATTCCATCTCTCGTCCTCGCGTCCTCTCACCCATCCCTCTCTCATCCTCGCATCCTCTCTCCCATCCCCTCTTTCATCCTCGCATCCTCTCTCCCATCCCCTCTCTCATCCTCGCATCCTCTCTCCCATCCCCTCTCTCATCCTCGCATCCTCTCTCCCATCCCCTCTCTCATCCTCGCATCCTCTCTCCCATCCCCTCTCTCATCCTCGCATCCTCTCTCCCATCCCCTCACTCATCATCGCAACCTCTCTCCTATCCCCTCTCTCATCCTCGCATCCTCTCTCCCATCCCCTCTCTCATCCTCGCATCCTCTCTCCCATCCCCTCTCTCATCCTCGACTCCTCTCTCCCATCCCCTCTCTCATCCTCGCATCCTCTCTCCCATCCCCTCTCTCATCCTCGCATCCTCTCTCCCATCCCCTCTCTCATCCTCGACTCCTCTCTCCCATCCCCTCTCTCATCCTCGCATCCTCTCTCCCATCCCCTCTCTCATCCTCCCATCCTCTCTCCCATCCCCTCTCTCATCCTCGCATCCTCTCTCCCAGCCCCTCTCTCATCCACGCATCCTCTCTCCCATCCCCTCTCTCATTCTCGCATCCTCTCTCCCATCCCCTCTCTCATCCACGCATCCTCTCTCCCATCCCCTCTCTCATCCTCGCATCCTCTCTCCCATCCCCTCTCTCATCCTCGCATCCTCTCTCCTATCCCCTCTCTCATCCACGCACCTCCCTCCATCCACTCTCTCATCCACGCATCCTCTCTCCCATCCCCTCTTTCATCCTAGCATCCTCTCTCCCATCCCCTCTCGCATCCTCGCATCCTCTCTCCCATGCCCTCTCTCATCCTCGCATCCTCTTTCCCATCCCCTCTCTCATCCTCGCATCCTCTCTCCCATCCCCTCACTCATCCTCGCAACCTCTCTCCTATCCCCTCTCTCATCCTCGCATCCTCTCTCCCATCCCCTCTCTCATCCTCGCAACCTCTCTCCCATCCCCTCTCTCATCCTCGCATCCTCTCTCCCATCCCCTCTCTCATCCTCGCATCCTCTCTCCCATCCCCTCACTCATCCTCGCAACCTCTCTCCCATCCCCTCTCTCATCTTCGCATCCTCTCTCCCATCCCCTCTCTCATCCTCGCATCCTCTCTCCCATCCCCTCTCTCATCCTCGCATCCTCTCTCCCATCCCCTCTCTCATCCTCGCATCCTCTCTCCCATCCCCTCTCTCATCCTCGCATCCTCTCTCCCATCCCCTCTCTCCTCCTCGCATCCTCTCTCCCATCCCATCTCTCAACATCGCATCCTCTCTCCCATCCCCTCTCTCATCCTCGCATCCTCTCTCCCATCCCCTCTCTCATCCTCGCATCCTCTCTCCCATTCCGTCTCTCATCCTCGCATCCTCTCTCCCATCCCCTCCATCATCCTCGCATCCTCTCTCCCATCCCCTCTCTCATCCTCGCATCCTCTCTCCCATCCCCTCTCTCATCCTCGACTCCTCTCTCCCATCCCCTCTCTCATCCTCGCATCCTCTCTCCCATCCCCTCTCTCATCCTCCCATCCTCTCTCCCATCCCCTCTCTCATCCTCGCATCCTCTCTCCCAGCCCCTCTCTCATCCACGCATCCTCTCTCCCATCCCCTCTCTCATTCTCGCATCCTCTCTCCCATCCCCTCTCTCATCCACGCATCCTCTCTCCCATCCCCTCTCTCATCCTCGCATCCTCTCTCCCATCCCCTCTCTCATCCTCGCATCCTCTCTCCTATCCCCTCTCTCATCCACGCACCTCCCTCCATCCACTCTCTCATCCACGCATCCTCTCTCCCATCCCCTCTTTCATCCTAGCATCCTCTCTCCCATCCCCTCTCGCATCCTCGCATCCTCTCTCCCATGCCCTCTCTCATCCTCGCATCCTCTTTCCCATCCCCTCTCTCATCCTCGCATCCTCTCTCCCATCCCCTCACTCATCCTCGCAACCTCTCTCCTATCCCCTCTCTCATCCTCGCATCCTCTCTCCCATCCCCTCTCTCATCCTCGCAACCTCTCTCCCATCCCCTCTCTCATCCTCGCATCCTCTCTCCCATCCCCTCTCTCATCCTCGCATCCTCTCTCCCATCCCCTCACTCATCCTCGCAACCTCTCTCCCATCCCCTCTCTCATCTTCGCATCCTCTCTCCCATCCCCTCTCTCATCCTCGCATCCTCTCTCCCATCCCCTCTCTCATCCTCGCATCCTCTCTCCCATCCCCTCTCTCATCCTCGCATCCTCTCTCCCATCCCCTCTCTCATCCTCGCATCCTCTCTCCCATCCCCTCTCTCCTCCTCGCATCCTCTCTCCCATCCCATCTCTCAACATCGCATCCTCTCTCCCATCCCCTCTCTCATCCTCGCATCCTCTCTCCCATCCCCTCTCTCATCCTCGCATCCTCTCTCCCATTCCGTCTCTCATCCTCGCATCCTCTCTCCCATCCCCTCCATCATCCTCGCATCCTCTCTCCCATCCCCTCTCTCATCCTCGCATCCTCTCTCCCATCCCCTCTCTCATCCACGCATCCTCTCTCCCATCCCCTCTCTCATCCTCGCATCCTCTCTCCCATCCCCTCTCTCATCCTCCCATCCTCTCTCCCATCCCCTCTCTCATCCTCGCATCCTCTCTGCCATCCCCTCTCTCATCCTCGCATCCTCTCTCTCATCCCCTCTCTCATCCTCGCATCCTCTCTCCCATCCCCTCTCTCCTCCTCGCATCCTCTCTCCCATCCCATCTCTCAACATCGCATCCTCTCTCCCATCCCCTCTCTCATCCTCGCATCCTCTCTCCCATCCCCTCACTCATCCTCGCAACCTCTCTCCTATCCCCTCTCTCATCCTCGCATCCTCTCTCCCATCCCCTCTCTCATCCTCGCAACCTCTCTCCCATCCCCTCTCTCATCCTCGCATCCTCTCTCCCATCCCCTCTCTCATCCTCGCATCCTCTCTCCCATCCCCTCACTCATCCTCGCAACCTCTCTCCCATCCCCTCTCTCATCTTCGCATCCTCTCTCCCATCCCCTCTCTCATCCTCGCATCCTCTCTCCCATCCCCTCTCTCATCCTCGCATCCTCTCTCCCATCCCCTCTCTCATCCTCGCATCCTCTCTCCCATCCCCTCTCTCATCCTCGCATCCTCTCTCCCATCCCCTCTCTCCTCCTCGCATCCTCTCTCCCATCCCATCTCTCAACATCGCATCCTCTCTCCCATCCCCTCTCTCATCCTCGCATCCTCTCTCCCATCCCCTCTCTCATCCTCGCATCCTCTCTCCCATTCCGTCTCTCATCCTCGCATCCTCTCTCCCATCCCCTCCATCATCCTCGCATCCTCTCTCCCATCCCCTCTCTCATCCTCGCATCCTCTCTCCCATCCCCTCTCTCATCCACGCATCCTCTCTCCCATCCCCTCTCTCATCCTCGCATCCTCTCTCCCATCCCCTCTCTCATCCTCCCATCCTCTCTCCCATCCCCTCTCTCATCCTCGCATCCTCTCTCCCATCCCCTCTCTCATCCTAGCATCCTCTCTCCCATCCCCTCTCTCATCCTCGCATCCTCTCTCTCATCCCCTCTCTCATCCTCGCATCCTCTCTCCCATCCCCTCTCTCATCCTCGCATCCTCTCTCCCATCCCCTCTCTCATCCTCGACTCCTCTCTCCCATCCCCTCTCTCATCCTCGCATCCTCTCTCCCATCCCCTCTCTCATCCTCCCATCCTCTCTCCCATCCCCTCTCTCATCCTCGCATCCTCTCTCCCATCCCCTCTCTCATCCACGCATTCTCTCTCCCATCCCCTCTCTCATTCTCGCATCCTCTCTCCCATCCCCTCTCTCATCCACGCATCCTCTCTCCCATCCCCTCTCTCATCCTCGCATCCTCTCTCCCATCCCCTCTCTCATCCTCGCATCCTCTCTCCCATCCCCTCTCTCATCCTCGCATCCTCTCTCCCATCCCCTCTCTCATCCACGCATCCTCTCTCCCATTCCCTCTCTCATCCTAGCATCCTCTCTCCCATCCCCTCTCTCATCCTCGCATCCTCTCTCCCATCCCCTCTCTCATCCTCGCATCCTCTCTCCCATCCCCTCTTTCATCCTCGCATCCTCTCTCCCATCCCCTCTCTCATCCTCGCATCCTCTCTCCCATCCCCTCTCTCATCCTCGCATCCTCTCTCCCATCCCCTCTCTCATCCTCGCATCCTCTCTCCCATCCCCTCTCTCATCCTCGCATCCTCTCTCCCATCCCCTCTCTCATCCACGCATCCTCTCTCCCATCCCCTCTCTCATCCTCGCATCCTCTCTCCCATCCCCTCTCTCATCCTCGCATCCTCTCTCCCATCCCCTCTCTCATCCACGCATCCTCTCTCCCATCCCCTCTCTCATCCACGCATCCTCTCTCCCATCCCCTCTCTCATCCTCGCATCCTCTCTCCCATCCCCTCTCTCATCCTCGCATCCTCTCTCCCATCCCCTCTCTCATCCACGCATCCTCTCTCCCATCCACTCTCTCATCCTCCTCGCATTATCTCTCCCATTCCCTCTCTCGTCCTCGCGTCCTCTCACCCATCCCCTCTTTCATCCTCGCATCCTCTTTCCCATCCCCTCTCTCATCCTCGCATCCTTTCTCCCATCCCCTCTCTCGTCCTCGCGTCCTCTCACCCATCCCCTCTCTCATCCTCGCAACCTCACTCCCATCCCCTCTCTCATCTCTCTCATCCTAGCATCCTTTCTCCCATCCCCTCTCTCATCATCGCATCCTCTCTCCCATCCCCTCTCTCATCATCGCATCCTCTCTCCCATCCCCTCTCTCATCCTCGCATCCTCTCTCCCATCCCCTCTCTCATCCACGCATCCTCTCTCCCATCCCCTCTCTCATCCTCGCATCCTCTCTCCCATCCCCTCTCTCATCCTCGCATCCTCTCTCCCATCCCCTCTCTCATCCACGCATCCTCTCTCCCATCCCCTCTCTCATCCTCCTCGCATTATCTCTCCCATTCCCTCTCTCGTCCTCGCGTCCTCTCACCCATCCCCTCTCTCATCCTCGCATCCTCTTTCCCATCCCCTCTCTCATCCACGCATCCTCTCTCCCATCCCCTCTCTCATCCACGCATCCTCTCTCCCATCCCCTCTCTCATCCACGCATCCTCTCTCCCATCCCCTCTCTCATCCTCGCATCCTCTCTCCCATCCCCTCTCTCATCCACGCATCCTCTCTCCCATCCCCTCTCTCATCCTCGCATCCTCTCTCCCATCCCCTCTCTCATCCTCGCATCCTCTCTCCCATCCCCTCTCTCATCCACGCATCCTCTCTCCCATCCCCTCTCTCATCCTCCTCGCATTATCTCTCCCATTCCCTCTCTCGTCCTCGCGTCCTCTCACCCATCCCCTCTCTCATCCTCGCAACCTCACTCCCATCCCCTCTCTCATCTCTCTCATCCTAGCATCCTTTCTCCCATCCCCTCTCTCATCATCGCATCCTCTCTCCCATCCCCTCTCTCATCATCGCATCCTCTCTCCCATCCCCTCTCTCATCCTCGCATCCTCTCTCCCATCCCCTCTCTCATCCACGCATCCTCTCTCCCATCCCCTCTCTCATCCTCCTCGCATTATCTCTCCCATTCCCTCTCTCGTCCTCGCGTCCTCTCACCCATCCCCTCTCTCATCCTCGCATCCTCTTTCCCATCCCCTCTCTCATCCACGCATCCTCTCTCCCATCCCCTCTCTCATCCACGCATCCTCTCTCCCATCCCCTCTCTCATCCACGCATCCTCTCTCCCATCCCCTCTCTCATCCTCGCATCCTCTCTCCCATCCCCTCTCTCATCCACGCATCCTCTCTCCCATCCCCTCTCTCATCCTCGCATCCTCTCTCCCATCCCCTCTCTCATCCTCGCATCCTCTCTCCCATCCCCTCTCTCATCCACGCATCCTCTCTCCCATCCCCTCTCTCATCCTCCTCGCATTATCTCTCCCATTCCCTCTCTCGTCCTCGCGTCCTCTCACCCATCCCCTCTCTCATCCTCGCAACCTCACTCCCATCCCCTCTCTCATCTCTCTCATCCTAGCATCCTTTCTCCCATCCCCTCTCTCATCATCGCATCCTCTCTCCGATCCCCTCTCTCATCATCGCATCCTCTCTCCCATCCCCTCTCTCATCATCGCATCCTCTCTCCCATCCCCTCTCTCATCCTCGCATCTTGGGCACTGTCCAGGGCGGTGAGTAGGCGAGGCTAGAAGGCTGAAAGTTAGTTGAAGTCCCAAATCACTCATACCTGGACGGCCCACTCGTCCCAAATCACCCAAACCTGGACTGCGCACTCGTCCCTTTCATACATACCTGCGCAGCCGTGGGCAGCACTGAAGGAAGGCACAGAACAGGGCGGCGAGTAGGCGAGGCTAGGGACGGCATCAGAGCAACCAAGAGCCCCGACTCAAATCTCCATACCCGCACAGCCCACTCGTCTCCTCCTCACCTGGCTGTGGCAGCACTGAGAGGGAGGACACCGTCCAGGGCAGCGAGAACACAAACAGGCGAGGGTGAGGGAGGCACAGGGGAGAGACATCAGGCGAAGGTGAGGGAGGCACAGGGGAGAGACATCAGGCGAGGGTGAGGGAGGCACAGGGGAGAGACATCAGGCGAGGGTGAGGGAGGCACAGGGGAGAGACATCAGGCGAGGGTGAGGGAGGCACAGGGGAGAGACATCAGGCGAGGGTGAGGGAGGCACAGGGGAGAGACATCAGGCGAGGGTGAGGGAGGCACAGGGGAGAGACATCAGGCGAGGGTGAGGGAGGCACAGGGGAGAGACATCAGGCGAGGGTGAGGGAGGCACAGGGGAGAGACATCAGGCGAGGGTGAGGGAGGCACAGGGGAGAGACATCAGGCGAGGGTGAGGGAGGCACAGGGGAGAGACATCAGGCGAGGGTGAGGGAGGCACAGGGGAGAGACATCAGGCGAGGGTGAGGGAGGCACAGGGGAGAGACATCAGGCGAGAGTGAGGGAGGCACAGGGGAGAGACATCAGCGAGAGTGAGGGAGGCGGAGACACAGATGGGTTTCACGGCATGGCGGGGAAACTGAACTGCGTCCCCATGGCAGGGCCAGATGCGAGTGAAGGTGGGAAGAGTGGAGAACATGTGATGGAGAGGCGGGAGGAAGGAGAGTGTGGTGGGTGGAAAGAGGATAGGGAGAAAGGCAGGGGAAGAACGGGGGATAGGGGGGAGGGAGCGGGTGCTTGGAAGAGGTGCAGAGAAATGTAGCGTGTGGGTGTGCTGGAATCAGGAAGGCTTGCGATCAATGGGAGGGGCGAGTGATAATGGGAGAAGACGGGACGGGAGGGAGAGAGGGGGTGTGGAAGGGAGGGACAGAGGGCAGTACCGCAAACAGCACAGCACATCGCAGGCACCCCCTGCCATAGCAGTTGAGCCTGGTCCTCCTGCGCGCGTGCATATGGCGACTGCTCCGCTGCTTCCACCCATGGGTGGGCTGGGTGGGGCGAGGGGGCGGGAGGAAGGGGAGGGGGAAGCAGCCGCAGCAGCAGCAGCAGCAGAAGCAGCAGCAGGTGAGAGATCAACGGGGGAAGCGCGACCGCACCGCAGCTGCCACTTATGCCACCACAGATGGGTCGGCTGGAAGGGGAGAGGCGGGGGAGAGGGGGACGGAGGGGGGACAGGGGGAGAAGGGGCGGAGGGGGGACGGGGAGGGGGAGGGGGAGGGAGTAGGAGAGGAAGAAGGAGGGGGGACAGGCGGAGGAAAGGGAGAAGGGAAGAAAGGGCGCCACTGGCCGTTGGGCTCGCGAGGGGAGGAGCGGAAAGCGCAGGCGAGCACCGACGAGGGAATGTGAGGAGGGGAATGGGAAAGGACGACGGGTGGGGGGGGACGGCTGGGGGAGCAGTGGAGAAGCGTGGGGGAGGGCAGAGGTGCAATTTCCACTGCGTGAACCCGGAAATTGCACTTGGGGGTGGAGGGGAGGAACACGAAGAAGAGTCGACTCGAGGGAGGAAGATAAAGAGGAAACTAAAGCATTTGGAAACAGCTTCAAGCCCACGCCTCGTTTGAACCCTCAACGTTCCTCCAGCTGGACTCGTTACAATCTATAACGTTTACAAAACCTCGTGTGAACAACCCCCGTTTGAAGCACCTCGTCTGATGAATTCCCAGTAACGAGCCTCATCGAGCGCGCGATCTAGCTCTAGCACTACGAGTTCGTACCGGCGTTGAAAGCGGCGGCGAGCGAGCGAGCGATCGCATGACTAAGAGTTCGTACCGGCGTTGAAAGCGGCGGCGACTGCCTCGAGAGGACTCGCGGCGGCGGCCAGATGAATCGCGACCAACGCGCCGGCGAACGCAAAAACAATGCGGCCACGAGGCGATGCGTGACTGGCGGACGCCACGTCACCGCAGTCAACGCCAACAGCGGCGCGCGGAGAAGATTCACGGGGGGCCGCCACGTCAGATTTATGGGATCTAACGGCTCGGGGGGACGCGTCGTTGGATCCGACGGCTCTCCCTGCCCGAATTGCAACGGCTCGGCGCGCAAGCGGAGCATCGACTGTCCTGAGGGGCCCACACGGACGGGAGAAAGCCGGGAAGGGGCGCGCGGACGGAAGTAGGGCCACGCGAGAGGCTCGGAGCGGCGCGGAAAGGACACCCGTCACCAGGGGCGTTGCCTGCGAACAGTGCGACGCCATGGTTGCCGTGGGAAGGGAAATGCAGGTCCCACCACACTGAATGGGGTTGGACCTGTGGAAAAGCAAAATATAGGGAAATGGAGTGAACAAACGAAGGGGAAAATATGCCATGGGTAACCAACTTGGGACTCGATAACGTGAATGGTAAAAAAAAAACGCGTACGGCCACTGTATCGGGTTACCTGACGGGTTTGGTAAGTGGGGTCACGGATTCAGTCACTAACAACATGTAAGAAATCACGCGAATGGTCACACATGTAACTCCCGCCAAAAAAACTTGAAACTCAACAAATTTCCCGCTCGCGCCCAACCAATCTGCTAACCTGTAAAAAATCTAAAACCCAATCGGAATCGGATGCGGTTGGGAACGGATCAACCCTAAACACCTGGCGAGTTACGTGTTTAGGGTTGATTCATTCGAAAATGCATCCAGGTTCTTTTTGGGTTTCATTTTGTTTTGGCGGGAATTTCATCTATGACCATTCGCGTTTTTTTTACCAGTTGATTGTGACTGATTACGTGAAACGTTTTATCAGTCGCGTGAAAACACCCTTTGCCTTGACCGTACCCTTTTTTTTTTACCAGATTATTATCGAGTCCCATGATGGTTACGAGTGGCATATTTTCCCCAAACGAAGATTGCACTATCGAAGCAAGAGTACAATGAGCAAAGGAATGAGCGAACAATATATAGTGAAAGCCTAGGGTGGTAACGTTAATGTGCGAGAATGTGGTGCGCTATGGGCCTGGCGCCGAGGTTGGGAATTGTCGAGGCGGAGGACCGGAGCGTGGGTTACCAACCGAACCGTGAGGTTGGGTCGCGGTGTGTACAGTGGCGGGAACAGTGGTCGAGGCGAATGTCGCGAGCGGGTAACGTTTTATTGTATGGTGGTGTTGGCGGGAATAGTTATGTACGCATCAAGCAGGGGCGCGAAGTAAGGAAAATGAAACTTCCTTACACTACCCCCCTCCCTAAGGAGGCTCCCCTTACGAGAGTGCGTGTACATCCCGAAAATTGCGGCTGCGCAGGTACTTGGTGAGGACGGGGTGGTTTTTTATTTTATCCAGGGGCACCCAGTTGTCTTCCGTTGGGGTGCGATATTTCCAGCGAATCAGGAACGTGATCCTGCGGGCTCCACATGGGTCACGAACTTGATGGCTCTATATTTTTTCGGGGGTGATGACGTGTTCTGTGGGTGGTCGCGTCATACTGGACAGGCGGCTGCGTGGCAGTTGGCTTGTTGATGGGATGTAGGGGCGGAGAAGGCTGACGTGGAACGATGGGCTGACGTACCAGTCGGCGGGGAGGAGGAGGTGGGCGGTGACGGGTGTTATCATATGGCTGTTGCGAAATGGCCTACAATATCGGGGTCGGAGTTTTGGGGTGATGAGCAGGTGGAGGTTCTCGGTGTCGAGCAGTACGAGGTCGTCGGGTTGGTAAGTGACGGGGCGGCAGTGGCGATCGACGTTGCGCTTAGCGATGAGGTTTGATCCTTTAATTGCATCTGCTGCTTGGGTCCGGGCCGCCTATAAGATTTCGGCGAATTGTTGCGCACGTGATACTGGGTTGTCGGGGTTCGGCGTCATGGGTACTGTAGGGTTCTGTCCATAGTTGAGGTAGAACAGTGACTGCTGCGTCGTGGCTGACGTGGAGTTGTTGTAAGCGAATTCGATGAGTGGTAGCTGCTGTTCCCATGTTGCCGGGTCGTCGCATGTGGCTCGAATTAATTGCTCCATGGTCTGATTGGTCCGCTCCGTTTGACCGTCGGTTTCGGGGTGGTACGAAGAGCTGAACTGTAGTCGCGTACCAACTGCTGCCACAGGTTCCTCCAGAAGTTGCTGGTGAATTTCGTGTCGCGGTCGCTGATGATCGATGCTGGTATCCCGTGCAGTCGAACAACGATGGAGATGAAGAGTCTGGCTGTTTCTTCGGCTGAGATTGTTTTCTTGCAAGCTGCGAAATGTGCCATCTTCGTCAGCCAATCGACGATGACTAGGATCGCGTCGTTCCCGCTTGTTCCGGCCAGTAACCCCGTAACGAAGTCCATCGTCACCTGCTGCCAAGCACGCTCTGGGGTTGGTATCGGCTGCAACTGTCCTGCAGGTCGTTGTTGTGACGAGTTCATGAGCTGGCAGGTGGGACACGATGCCACGTGTCGTTGCACGACGGTTAGCATCTCGGGCCAGTAGTAATATCGCTGCATCTGCTGCCGTGTTTTTTCCACCCCGAAATGTCCTGAGGTAACTCCGTCATATGCCTCCTGTAGCAGAAATTCCCGTAGTAGTGTGTAACCCAGTACCCAGATGTGGTCGGTGCCGGCTTTTACGTAATAAACCCCTTTTGCTGCTGCGAACTGCTGCGAGTTTCCTCCTGTGAAGAACGGGTCTGTTTGATATCCGTGGGCGAATAGTCCTGTGAGCACTGGGCTGTTTTGGCCGAGTAGTATCGTGTGTATTTGGGCAGTTGGGCGTGTCAAACATATATGCTATAGCTTGCTTAGGCTGTAGTGGGGTAGTAGTCAATATGGGGTACAACACTTTAGGGTTTCACTACTTGTACCCAACTTTCTGCTAATGCAATCACTTCTTGTTTCTAGTTTCAACATGGTTTCAGAGCAGGTCCTCCGTTAGGACCGGTTTTCTTAGGGCCCACCACACTGTCACGGCTGACTGCCCCTGACTGCCCTCGCGCCCTCGTGCGCACTGTCCTGCCCGCGCCCTCGTGCGCTCTGCTTTGCTCGCGCCCTCGAGCGCCACCCTGAATAGCGCGCTACAGCCGATCGCGCACCGCCCGTTAGACGCGCACGCAGCCCAGCGCGGCCCCGTGCAGCTCCGAGCGCCGCCCGCCAGCCGCCCACGCCGCCCGCTAGCAGCCCACGCGGCCCAGTGCAGCTTCCCGCGCAGCCCGCACGCCGCATGCGCAGCCCGCAAACCGCACGCGCAGCCCGCAAGCCGCTCGCGCAGCCCGCTAGCCGCCCGCGCGGCCCCGTGCAGCTTCGCGCGCAGCCCGCTCGCAGCCCGCGCTAGCCGCACGCAGCTCGTGCAGCCCGCTAGTCGCACGCACGCCGTCGCGCAGCCCTGCGCGCAGCCCGCAGGCCGCCCGCGCTAGCCGCAAGCAGCCCGCACGCGCCCGCAAGCTGCCCGCGCGCAGCCCACAAGCAGCCTGCGTGCGCCCTGCCTGCTCGCACCGCGCCGCCCTGCCCGAGACGCGCAGCCCCAGCCGAGCCGCGCTGCCCAGCCGAGCCGCGCCGCCCTGCCCGAGCCGCGCCGCCCTGCCCGAGTCGCGCCGCCCTGCCCTGTCGAGTTGCGCTGCTGCTACTGTCTGCTACTGCAGCTGCTGCTGCTACTGCTGCTACTTCTGTTACTGCTGCAACTGCTGTTACTACTGCTACTGCTGCTACTGCTGCTACTGCCAGTATGGCCAACCCCACCGTTCTCGCGTTCGATACTGAGGGCCGCCCGATCCAGTTTGATGCCTGGCTCGACGATCTGCACTTGTTCCTACAGATTACAGCCAAGGACGATATCTCACTATTCGATCACACATCTGGAGCCTCCCTCGCACCTGCTGAGACCGCTGACAGCTCGATTCGCTCACAGTGGCAGACCCGTGACGCTCACGCTCGCCTAGCCGTTCGCAGCCACCTGCCGATAGACCAGCGTGCGCACTTTGGCTAGCATAAGACCGCTAAGGCGCTGTACGACGCGGTAGTTGCACGCTACTCCTCCCCTGCCACTGCTTCGATCGGTCGCCTCTCGCTGCCCTATCTCTTCCCCGATCTAGCCGCTTTTACCACAGTCGCTGACCTCATCACTCACCTCCGTACTAGTGACACTCGCTACCGCGCTGCCCTTCCTGCCGAGTTCCTAGCCAAGAACCCCCCCCCCGATGTACCTCACCCTTTATCACCTCGTCGCCCGTCTCCCTGACTCTCTTCGTCCAGTCAGGGACCACTTCCTCGCTCTCTCCCCCACCGAGCTCACCATTGACCTGCTTGAGACACAACTGCTTTCAGCTGAGGCTAGCATTAACGCAGTAGGTGCCTCTCGTGGCGAGCCCCGCACCCCGTTCTTTGAGGGGTGTTCCCCCTGCCCCCTGCTCCCCTCGTTTGCCTCTGCTGCTGCTGTTGACCTTCTTGGTGCAGAGAAGGCCGGGGCTGCGTCTGCTCCTAGTGGGACGCGCCGCAGCGGCAAGGGCAAGGGGGGCAAGGGTGGTGGAGGTGGCGGCGGGGGAGGTGGTGCTGGAGGTGGCGGAGGCGGTGGGGGTGGCGGAGGCGGTGGGGGTGGTGGCGGGAGTGGGGGGGGCAGTGGCAGCGGCGGGAGTGGTGGTGGCAGCGGTGGGGGAGGAGGCTGGGGTGGAGGCGGTGGTGGTGGCGGCAGTGGGCGTGGTGGCGGCAGCGGTGGCGGTGGTCGCGGTGGAGCGGCGCAGCGTGGAGGTTCTGGTAGTGACCAGCGCCAGCAGCAGCATCGTCCCCGCGAGACCCCGTCGTCCCAGCAGCTTCGTGAGTGGTACTCTCAGCGTGGGGGTTCTGGGGGTGGGGGTAGCTGCCCGTACGTCATCCGCACTGATGACCGCGCTGGCCAGACGTGTGGGAGGTTCCACACGCAGCACCGCTGCTTCTCTCGCCTCGACGACGCCTGGCGCGCACAGTTTCCTGACGCTGCTGAGCTCCCTCGCTGGGCTGATCTGCTTAAGAGCAACATTGATATCTTTCCTCTTGACTTTGATGCTATCCTTGGTGCCATGTATGCATTGACTGTTAGTGTTGAGGAGGACTGTTACCTGTGTGTTCCGCCCGACCCGGGCACTGAGACCAGTGAGGCTGCTGCTCTAGGTGCTATTGAGTCGGCTGCGCCAGGTGCTAGTGAGGCTACTGCTCTTGGTGCTAGTGAGTCTGCTACTCCAGGTGCTAGTGAGTCTGCGCTGTCTGGTACTGCGCCTACTGAGGCCCTGCACACCTTCGTTCTTGACTTAGGTGCTTCCCGCTGTTTCTTTCGCG